CAACCAAAACCGGCGCACGAAAGTGAATGGTTAATGGTTGTAAAAACTGAAAACTTAACTAAATTCCTCTGTGATTGTTCTCTGCCTCCCCTTAGGCAGCATAGGATTCATAACCTATCCCCTTGTGCGGGTCTGACAATCACACGATCGATCGGGTTCATTCATCGATCGGTCGGGGCGTGATTTTTGCCCAACCAACCCGAGCGAGAACCCTCACCGTGTCTGCAACCTCGAGTCATTAGCATGTCCTGTGAACTTCGACTGTGCATAGCGGAAGTGGCATGATCACACGACTGAATAACAGGTGACAACAAGAGTATCACAAACATTACGAACCGGTGATTAGAGAGTCTCGTATCAGTTTGAGAGATTCCAATTTGTGCAAATCGCGGAAAATGCTCCACTCAGATTGGTTATAGGGTCAGAGGAAACAAGAGAGGAACAAGACTCTGTGAATCGGTGGAGCAATCGAACTGTATAAAAGGAGGAAGAAAATGCAACTTTAAATAACACCGCTGTAAGGAATTCGGATGAAAACAATCCGTGAACGTGAAAATGGCTTTGAATATATCAGTATAAAGGGATAGTAATATTGAAGTAAACCAATAAGGTATGCCATTTAATTAGACACAGACTGAGTTGAGGCTAATTTTAGGTGGAGGAGAATGGGGANGGATTTCGAGTCTACAGAGGAATGGCGATATTCTAGAATTTGATACACACTGAAAACAGACGATACAACCTCGACCAGGTCCAAAGCCCACCTGGTTCTTTTACCTGCACCATTCACGCGTGACTGACAGTCGATGAATGAAACCCACAGACCGTATGGATTGAACTAATTTCTCTGGGACTTCCACCAGAGGATAGGCTCTCTATCTTCTCCCTTCTAGATCGGTAAGACGACCGATTGATACCGTTCATCTGAAAGTTGCATCAAGTCTAAATTAATCGAACAACTGGGCGGATCAAGAAAATCATGGCTGAACGTACGAAAGTTTGTCTCCAATTTCGCACACCAAAAATCTACGAGCTCTGCTGAATGAGACTCCCGTATGTATAATCCCCCCTAGATATTTCTTCTCAAAGTTTATCATACAAAGTTTGGAGNTTTGGAGAACAGGTCAATGTAACTGTTTGGTATGGAGGCCACCTCAGCTGTAAAACTAGGTTACATGTGAACGGAATCACGCTATTGCACTCATTTTACTGGTGAGTAGAAAAATGGGAATACACGAAACGATATAACGAAAATGTGCTTTTGTATCATCCATTGCAGTCTCACGACAAATCTAATTGTATATTCTGAATTTATTCGATGAATGACGCTAACCAAAGTGATGGCCCTGCATGCTTTTTGAAACATCCCTTAAACCGAAGGACTCTCGAGATGCGCAACCAAAATAAATATAATTTTTCTTTGTGTCACGTCAGCGCCAATTGATTTAAGTACATTCCAGTCTTCGCCCTACGCAGTCAGGAAATGTGCCCTGTAGTAAGATGATTTCGGTCAAGATCTTTCGACAGAAATGTGAATCGAAAGTCGTTGATAGTGATGACTTCATATGCATGATAAAATATTTCACCTTTCACAAACTTCTAATCGTATAACTGTTTTAGAATTCTTAAACTCAATCTTATTGCAAATAGTTGATGTTGCTGAAAAAGCATTCTGCAGTATTGTGGAAAAATCCTGAAATAATCAATTGTTCTCTAGTGCGCCAATATGACTTTTTTAAATTTTGTTCCCAAATGATAGATGACAGTCATTTAGTGAGCCTATTATAACTTGTCATCTTAAAGAGAGTATTAGGTGCAAAAAAACGTATGAAGCTGTGGGTGTTCATGTAAGTTGTCTCAATAAAGAAGCAAGCATAAAAAATGAGTCATCGATGAAAAATATTTTTCTGTGATTTACCGGCAGTTTGGGTAAACTTATAGTCATCGTAATCCGAGGTGTCGTACGTTCCCTGCCCGGGGCCGTCCAATGCACCACCGAATCCCGCGTGCACGGATTCGCTTGGCACGTTGATCGCCGTGTTTGGTGCAGCCGCTTCTGCTTCAACTGCCCCGACTCCATTAGCCGCTTCATCACCCTCAACCAGCCCCGAATCAGCTTCCAGTTCACGCATTTTGGCGGCAGCGGTAGCTTCTGCAGCTGCTCGTTCCGCACGGCGCATGGATTGCAAATGTTCCAACGCCTTGATTGGTTCCATCTATTAAAATCAAGCATAAATGAGACAGCTTTCCAAACCAAGAACTCGATAATTTAACAGTTAAAACAATTCATTAAGGTTTTAATTACTGCGATGAAATTAACTGGGATAGGACCATTTTGCCTTCTTTATTGGAGTTCCTTATTTCCTTGTGAATAACTACATTCAGATTCTCCTCCTTTTGTCTTTTATAAGCCTTTAGTTGATTGGTCACAACAAAGCATTACTATCATAACAATGAACAGCAAATCATTTTTTTGAAAAGTGAACTACCTCCACAATCTGAAAAATTATAGAACACAACGCACACAACAGTAACAAGCAATACTCCCATTGTTTCAGCACTAGCAGCTACTCAATGATGCAATTTGCACTAAACCTGGTCAAGGTTACCAAATCTTGCGACAGTTTAGATTGTGTGAACAGGTGTATCTGAGATGGCGATTCGCTTGGTAACCAAAAAGAGAACTGGCCAGCTGTTTTATTTGCGCTAGGACTGGTCAACAATCCGTACACTTTTAGTCCTAGATAGAACCAAAACGGCAAACTTTCGAGTCCAGCGTGGAAGCTGTTACGCCTGGGCTTCATGCTTGACAGTCAATACTGTGGTTGAATAGTTACAATAATGTAGGATGTCCTGTTTGCCCTAGCGCAATGGGTTTTCGTAGGCATTAAGCACGGTTTTAACTCAGGCGGAATTCACGAACTCTCAGGGGGTGAAGCACACATACAAAACCATAAACGTAGCCGATTGTATGTAAAAAATCGAATGGGTCAACGTGAATATTATATTCCGAATTAAGTTCCTTCCTCTCAATTAAGGTCTCAATCCTTATCAGGCGTCATGATACAATTATTAGGCAGGTTACAATAAATTTCTATACATCCCAGATATTCTGGGTGGATTGTTCTGCAGAATATTTTATAATTAGCTCATTGTTCAAACGTCACATTAATGCTTTTCCATCCCCTACAATCCGACGCATTATTTTATTCACTCCGGTTTCAGTCCAGACTCTGTTGCCGTCGGATCATCATGAGGTTATGCTCGAGGAACGAGGATGTATCTGTCGCCGCCTGCACTTGAGTGATACTTTTGCTGTGTATGCATATGTCCTTAGTAATTGATTGCCCGATGTTACTTGCTATGATACACGTACGCACGTCATGTGAACTTACTCCATTATAATATCCTTTCGCCTCAGCCAATCAGATGTCAGATTTCAATTGTCCGGGATTACTGATTTGTAAAACTGTTTAACCGCCCTGCTTAACCACATTCTGATGTTATGAAACGCTTGCGCCTGTTGTCGACCTGTCTGACCGCCTAGTCACGTGTTTGCTTTCTTACTGGCTCCGTAGACCGGCTGCGTATGTACCAACTGCAAATAACTGCACTACCCAGTTCACAACGTGGCTATTTACCTGCCAAAACGGGGTACAAAGGTAACCATTGCGGAAAAGGATCTAAGTCATTTTCAGTTTTTATTTCTTTATCGAAGCCTATTTGGAAATGTTTTCAAAACGGGTTTTGTTACTCTATGGGGACATGACGAAACCAGGAGTATATTCGCGATTGTATCTGAATACAATACATGTTCTGTGAAATTTTAGAAAAGCAGCACTCAAGAGCATTTAGATCTGGTGTATTGCTGTGGATACACCACGCAGAGATGTCTGTATTCTTGATATATGGACGCAAACTGTCAGTGATCCCATGCTGGTATATACGTAACATTCCATGCATTCGGCGGGACGTTCGGCTGAGCAGCGTCGACCTCGGGCAAGCAAACCCAGCTATTCACTTTGTCGTCTGTTTGACCTGCATAAATCGCGGCGGTCCAAAAGTGTAACTTACATTTAATCAGATAGTCTTCCTTGGTGTGCAACGTAAATCGACACAGGATTCGTTTGGAACAAAATCAGAGGAGTTAGGACGATGACCTGATTAGAATGGACATAGTCAAACAGATTGTATCAGTTCATTTTCCACACAACTGTAGCTTGAAAAAAATACCATAAATGCCGGATTTTGAGTCATATCAAAACAAATGTTAAAACTATACTCACGAGATTTTTGTACGTCTCAAAAATGAGTGCTTTCATGTGTACATGATGAAGTCGATAGTTTTTGCACAATTCTTTGGCCAGTGTCGTTTTACCGACATTTGGTGGTCCCAGAATACACAATCGAAGTGGCTAAAACGGCAGTGAACAGTGATTTATTGGTGATATTCCGTTACCTAATCAAAATCAAATGCAAATATGCATTGTCCAAATTAGGTTTTGGCGTTATGCTGACCGACCCGACCAATTTTACCATAAACATTTTAATTTCTCAATAGGTTAAAGGGGTTTGCGCAGTTTTGACCAAAAAGCAAGTTTATCAGTGGTAAATGGTTCTCTCATAAATACCTATTCTGTATCACGAAATCACAAATACGCCCACAAAAACCATTAGGGAAATATCTTTATCTCCTCATTAAGGTTCATCCTTAGTGTTGATTTCATGCACACTATTGGGGACCAATTCGCTTGTTCGCCAAGCTTGGTAATTTGCGTGTCAACGCTTCATCACCAGCCGAGGTGACATTATCAGTGTTTGTACAGTTTATGTTGTCTTGTAATAACAGATAGTAGTAGTAGTAGTAGTAGTAGTAGTAGTAGTAGTAGCAGTAGTAGAAAGCTAAGGGCATCGATAAACTAGTGTGAAGCAGGGTTTCATAGTTACCCCAGGTACCTCAGAACACTACGAGCATCGTACACATCGAATACCCCTCGAGGAATAATGTGGGGTGAGAAATCTTCCGAATTAGAAGTTAGGTTCGGAGTGAAGCATGGCTGCCCTCTTCTTCCGGCACTAAGTAAGTTTACCATCGATTAAGCATTGTATCATGCGATAACTAGCTACCCTGGTGTGCAGATGAGCCGAACAAATGGCAGCATGGATCGAGATTTTGCTACCAATGTTTCCCTCCTAGGTGATTCCCCTTCTGTACTCAAAATAGTTCTTGGATAGGTCAGTCTTCATGCGATGACCGTCAACACCATAGTCAATAAATGTGTCTTTGATCCCCGGGCCTGGTACTCAATGACTGCCTGCCAATGCTCAATCAACCTTCCCATAACTCAGTTCCATCTTACTGCTCAATCGTCCAGTGAAGGTTTGATTATTGTCAGGCTTCATAACTGCACGCCGGAATTTCCTCGAGCTACGCAGCGTGCATTGGAACCGCAGTAAGATCAGAATTAGGACTGGGATTCACATCACCTATGTAACTCTCCGGCCCATGCTCATCGAATTCATATAAAACTCAACCAATAAGATCCGAGGATACCACCACGCCTTCGACTCTGTCGATCGGATCCCACAATGGAACTGTTTGTTGAGAAATGGAGTACCTGAGAAGTATGTGTCGATCCTAAAAGAGTTGTACCGTCGTATCTCAGATCGGGTTAGGGCCTATGGCCAGCTTTCGCTACCCTTTGCTGTCGCCAGTATTTTTCGACATCGCTGTCCTATAACCCCATTCCTTTTCAACATCGCCATAGAGCATGTTCTACAGAACACTTTATCCGGTATAGCAAACGGTGGAGTTGAACTCCTCCCAGGGATCAGAGTTCTTGACTTAAAATTTGCCGATGACATCGTCTTGCTGGGTGACAACACACAGGCATTTCAACACGCTTTGAACCGCTTGGCGAGCGAGATATCCAGATATCGTATGTGCTTTGAACCATCAAAGTGCAAAGTGCTTATTCAAGACTGGGAGGAGCCTATGTCTACACTCACTCTCTGTGGTGATCAGCTAGAAGTAGGTGAGAGCTTCAAATACCTCGGGAGTTTGATCGCAGCTGGTGTTGGTGTTGGAGAAGAGATCATATCCCAAATGACGAAAGCTAGAGCAGTTTTCGCTAACCTGCGGCACATGTGGCGTCATCGTTACATCCGACTGTCCGTTATTGGAAAGGTATACATCGCCGCAGTTCGTGGCGTTTGCTTTACGGTTGCGAGACCTGGCCTCTCTGCGTCGAGGATGCTAATGGACTTTCTGTCGATGTCTCCGAAGCATTTCTCGTGTCTGGTGGGAACATCGAGTGAGCATTGACGAGGTCCGTCGACGTGTGTTGGGTGTGGATAGTCGTTCTCTAACAGAGGTAATCGCTCTGCGCCGTCTCCGATGGCCTGGTCACGTATTGCGTATGCCTGCCCACCTACTACCTTTCCGTGCTCTCTTCGCACGTACCGGGCAAGGCTGGAGGAAGCGCCGCGGCGGTCAGACCATGAAATGGCCTAGAGGTATTAANGCACTTCAGAGCGGGACCCCGAATTGACGCTTAGCAAAAGCTAATTTGTCCGGTTCTAGTCGGTGATGTCGTGCCGTGACTGGTGGTCCTTTAGTGACTGTGTGGTGAGCCAAACGATCTGTCATTAGGTTAATCCCCTCAATAGGTTTAGTGAAATTGTGGAGGCGTTCCATTAACGAGTGGAGCGAATCAAGTAAGATACCTGTGATTCGGTGAACGTCTGTGCGAGCTTTGAGGCCCGTGAATTTAATATTCGACGAAGTATCAATCAACCGCAGTCTACGTGAGTATACGAATAACTCATAGAACTGCAGAAAACCGATACCAAGGATACCTGTAGGAACGTCCGCTAGAATGAACGTCCACAGATACCGTCGTCGAGGCCCCAGGTTAACCGCTAGTCTTCGTGCACCGTAAGTAGTAATGGGGATGCCCTTCGCAGCGCACAACCGAAGTTGTGAAGCACGAGGCTTTCTGCTACCGACAGATGCGACGGAAATTTGGCTCCCATGTCAACAAGAAAGCTAGTGCGTGTATAATAATCTTGCACGTAAAATAGGCGGCCAACCTGGGGGTTGGGTGGGTGGTTCGGCAGGCAGTCACAGTCACGGTTAGTCGCCGGTGGTGGTGTTTCCCGCCACATAAGTACATGGGGGCTTACATTTGCGGGCTCCTGGTTCATAAGTTTTATGAAACCAGCAGTAACCGTCCCTAGCCAATTTTGTGGGTTTAGACTTAGGACGCTGAGCTGAGGTGTGGGTGAGCTTTACTGCCTTAGTGCGCCCACGGCGTGCACGGTTTCGAGAGACCTGCGAGTTAAGTTAGGGAACCCCATCCTTAAGGAATAGGCGCTTAGTAATGCAGCGTGGTTTACCGTGCTATGAAGAACGTGGCGGGGTAGGCTGATGCGAAGTCGTGGCAACGAACAAAGGCTCGGCGTTGCCGAATCGGGCCATAATTTTGTTTAAGACGGAAGCGACCTTATCGAGCGAGGTATCCTCGAGGAGGGCTGTTACCGTGGTCTGAACATGAACCGGTAAAGACTCGATCCATAACTCCGTGACGATGTCCAAATGGGCATCGTGAGGTCCGGCGAGGGATCTCAGGTGGGCTAGGTGCTGGCTGGGCTTGGTGTCACCCATGGGGTGGCGTGCCAGTTAATTCCGTAGCATTCCCTCTTTGGATGGTTGGACAGCGTCGAGAATAGCCTAATTCAATTTATCAAATGGATACTCATGGGAGGGGATTCAAAACTAAATCCCGTAAAGAAGACAACTGGTCGCCAGGGATTACTTCCAGTGCCAACGCGTACATTGCGTTTTGGTTCTTAACATTCCTATGAGCGAACTGCTGCTCTAATGCTGCTAACCATACCTCTGGGTCGTGGGGGACCAATGGGATCGAGCGAAACGCCACCATTTTTTGGTTTAAGTCTGGGCTGTTCGAACGTGTCTTATTCTCAGATGACATGAGATTGCAATAATGTATTCAATATAAATATATATCGTGCAACGAAGACACAAAACCGCAGACTTACCAAAGAAAAATAAGTATTTTCCTGTCGGGCTCACCAATTGAGGAGACGTCGACTACGATCTGTCGTGACGCACTTCAGAGCGGGACCCCGAGCTCGCAAAACAACCAAGTAACGGCTGCTTAAACCAGAAGACTTGTGATTGTTGTGGACGTTTATTGGGGTACTGTAGCACGGAGAACGTACCGGGACCGGCTAACGAGAGTTTGCTTTAAAGCACGAAGGTACGAGAACCAACGAGCGCGATAACGAGCAAAACGGATCGAAAGAGAAAAGTGAAAGTTCTCTCGCGGATGGATGCAGCGGGTTTCGATCATATAAAACAAACGTCACTTGGCGTTGGTACTGAAGTGAAAATATGAACATAACTTTAGATTGTACAGAAAAAATGTTGTCCGGTAAAAGTCTGATATGGTCCGATTTTCACCGTACCATCGGGCTCACTACAGAAGTTATGGGCGCGAATGCCGTACGGCCTGTTGAAATCCCGTGCCCATAAAAACGATAAATTAACACAAAAATATCATAAGGTGTACGATGAAATACACAAAACGTTGTTATTCCATTTATTCGTAATATTCAATTCTAACAATTACGTCTTTTTCTCTATACTCTATCCCAACCTCCTCCCGTTATTATCATTGTTAATACTGTTGCGGCCATGCTTGTTCTGCAGTCGGTGTTAAATCTCTCGATATATATTGAAGAAATAATCCAAAATCTGGATTATCTTTCATGGGGATTATGAGTGAAACCGGTGTTTCGGTTCCTGCAAGACTCAAGTGGACGGTATATACTCAGTAAAGGATGAGGATCCCAAGAATACGGTAGCCGGTGGTTCGAGATGCTGAGTGATATTGCTGAGTAACGCAACCAGTGGCGTTCGTGTATCTAACCAATATTTTTGCAACCCTGGTCTGTATAAATTCCTTGTTTCCCCTTATGTTTATTCTCAACATTCCAATTTTGATGATGATCTTTTATCCACATGGGCGGCCAAAAGACAGCAACCAAAACCAGGTCATGAACGTGCATGGTTAATGGATGTAACAGATGAAACTGAAACGCGCGTTGAAATTCAGGTATACAGGGAACTGAAGAGCATCTTCGCGATTAACATATTCAGTCAAGTACATGTTTTCAACTTCGACTCACATTATTGTAACTTAAGATTTGATTAAACCTTGTTGTGTAAGAGAAATATATAGATTCCGTGTCAATAGTTTCCTCACAGTTTGGCTGCCAACAACTATGGATAATTGCATTTGATCCAAAACGAACCCAAAATTCTGCGGGCAATTATGCCTCCGTGGGATTTTGTTTACTGGGTGACTGTGGACTCAGAATGAATCCGCTCATTCAAAGAGGCGTATCAAAATTAGCGCCTGAGTGTGATGATGAATTTATCGATCCATCTTGCTGAAAATTGCTTTCAAAACCGACTGATATTGATCGTTCACTGGTGGGTTTATTCATTATTGTCTCAACGTCGCTAGATAAAATCCCACATTCATACCGTTCCGGAGGGCGAGAAACCGCTAAACGTCAAACCACTAAAATCTTCATTCTCGTCCGGTAACTCGCTAGGCAAAAAGACTTGTTTATTATTATAGAAATCAGTTCATTCCATGGGAACGACTTTTCTGATAGATCCGGACCCATGGATAATGTGAAGCAAAAATCGTAATGTCGGGGTCCCAGCAGCACGTGACTGGTAGATTCACTTTAGGTTATCACGGATTCGATGAAAGAGGTAACGATTCCTCTTGAATTTGGCGCCGTTTAGATGGATTCAAGTATACTTGTTCATTTCTCGCTTGATTTTCAGGTTGCTTACACAGAAACTCCTGTCGCGACCATGTCAGAACCAGGGGTTTGTACTCGATGGATTTCCCAAATCATTAGCACAGGCCGAAATGCTATTTCGACGTAAGTTAGCCCCATGAAAAATCTGTTGTGCAATGAAAGCTGACATTATTGTGTTTCCACCGATTTTGCTTGATAGAAATTTAAACCCCTATACTGCTTATTGAGTTCGGTAACTTGTTTCCACCTGCTTGATGCTTACAGTACCGATTTTACAATGATGCATCATACTGCAAGCTTCCCAAAGCAGTTCGTGTGTAAATAATAATTCCAATAAATGGCAAGAGTAATGTGTAAAGTAAACTTCAAGCCTGGCTGAAGACACGCTGGATTATGTTTTAATGAGCACCGCAAATGAAGTGTAGAAAAGACTTCTTTATTTTCAGGACAAAGCAATAGCCCTTTTACTCATTATCGCATTCGAAGTGAAAGTTTGAGATGTCAAATATCACTCCTTTTCTCCTGTTTTGAGACAAGGCACAGATTAGTGCGGACTAGGTACTAGACTTATGTTTGCTTTGAATTTCTGATGTAAATCAACTGTCATCGAATTTTCCATAACAGTCACGGATTCGCGTAATCCGTATACATCCACGCAAACGCCGAGCGTTTACGCAAGTGGGTATCAATCTGTACATTTAAAATATAGGCGTCTAGATTGTTGTCATGAAATCATCGGTTCACCAATACTCTACAGCATCACATTCAGTCACGTGAGGTTCGAAGAACCTGTGTGGTATTGCCAGTTTACAACAAAAGTATTTGCATCTTGGTGCATATATAAATGCGTTAGAAAAACCAAACACATGAGTCATATATTTGGGAATTTCTACGAGCTGTGAGCTGGCTGACTTCATGTCACTGTGGTGGGCTAATTTTCGGCGTGATTGCCTTATCGCAGTTGAGTGAAAATGCAAAGGGATAAAAATGAAGGAAACAAATGGTAAGATTAAAGTGACGTGATCGAAACCACAAGCTTTGTTGACTTTAAAAGGCGTTTCAGAAGTGTGAATACCTCAGTGCCCAACTGGCCTGAAGTAAAATGGAACGAGCACTCTTGGATGTCGATTGGCGAGCGAGAGACATAATTAAGCTTTCCAAAGTGTGAATGAACAGTAATGGAACTTGCCGATAGAATGCTTATTCTGTTTAGGGATCTACTTCAGAGAGCAACTACTTGATCTACACGATACTTAGTTTGTCAGTCACGAGTACTCGTGAATAAACGCTTCAATTGATTACGCACGAAATTGGCAAAGAAAAGTTCCAGTGGGCAAAGCCGGATGTAGGAAGGTGAAAACCACATCGGTAGGACCGCGTGTGATATAAAGATTTATAAGATATCATGTTGAACGTTGCGAGAAATCAAAAATTAAACTCTCTTATAAATTTATAGAAATCCGATTTGGGAAAGTGTATGGATGAATTTTAAGCACCTATGAGAGTGAAGTCAACGTCAAATCAAAATAGGCCGAAGGCCCACAACGGGTTACTCTTCAGCTTTTCAGACAATAAACACTAGGAAACGTGGACACTAAGAAATGGAAAGAAATGTATTCTAAAACCTGGGTAAATAATAGATCATATTTCAAGTCCATAGTGGCAGACATCCCCCTTACTAAGGTACGGGAAAGATAAAACATGATGCTATTTTGCTCTCTATTGGTAAGTTCAGCGAGAAACCCTAATTTTGAACGAGTACGGAGAAGAGACCTGTTGTGGCCTGTAGTTGAGTGATGTGCCCATCACGTAATTGACCGTTTCGGCCCGCCACCACACACACGTGCGCTCCTCATTCGGACTCAATCTGTTACAAGGTCGATCCGCTTAAGCGAATCAGAGGTCAGCATTGATTGGTTTGTTCACTGCCCAAAGCGATGACATAAGGGTTGCGGAGATTTTGTGCCTGCCTGCCTGCCTGCCTGCCTGCCTGCCTGCCTGCCTGCCTGCCTGCCTGCATGTTGACACACTGCTTACCCACCGGCCTACAGACCGGGTACATTTGCACTTGTATGTTGAAAAAAGAATAACTAATTAAATCTCCGCTTGTGTACTTACTGACTTATAAGGGACACAATGCAATCAGTGGTCTTCTTCAGACAGCTAATGGCCGGTGAATCGATCATATGCACGAAAATACTTGCATTGAATAAAATCAGTCAAGCTAGTCAGGGGAGTAAAACTACAAGGGAAAATAAACTAAATGGATTAAGGTGAAGGAGAAGGCGTTTCACTCCTATACTGGGAAGAATACTGATGAACAGGATACGCAGTACAGAAGAATGCCATCACGTTTAGGAGAATGGAAGACTTTTCAAGTATGAAACTGTAGAATGGCAGAATTCTAAACATAAACAGTCCCACGGAAAACACAAGGAGAACACGAATTGGCAAACAAGCTCCTTTTCAGTGTGTTTTAATCATTCCATTGCAACAGAATTTATATGACTAGTAACACATAAGGATTTGAACAGGCAAGTCAGAAGACAAACACTATGAGAGGAATTCATTTCGTGTACTCTCATCGGTGGCGTATGTATAACACTGAACAGCATAGACAAATAAGGCGTTTTAAGAAATCTAGTTCGGTTTAATTATGTGTGTGCGAGTTAGTGTACTGCGTGTATGATGCACAAGATTAGTTACAACCAGGGAAGGTCCAAGGTTATACGCTTCTGGACACAGCGTGGGTATGTTGTGAGCGATGAATAATGCCTCGAGTATCCTTAGTCGGAGTTTGTCACGATGGCATAACAAAAGCGAGAACCGAGATAAGAATTTTCGAACGAAAAAGAAAATAATTGAAGTATTCAACAGTTTGTATCATGATTGGTCCCCAACTATCATATATTCCGATGTTTCATGACAGGTCACTTGTCGGCAATCCGGCCATGGGAGCTGGAGTGCTTGGACAAATTGTTTCTGAGCCCACATAGGGGGGTTGTGAAGACAGATATTAATTGCCTCCGCTGCGGCTAGAATGCGAAACCTCAGATGTCTATATATATAGACCGTCCCGTTTTAACTCTATACAAGGGTCGGAAAGCTTCGGTCACCATTACAAAATGATTGGTGTCGATAGAGTGTGGCACGATCGGATTTGTGATTGACTTAATTACTCCACTTCTCAACCGCACAGGGTGATGCTCACGGTTGCGTTCGGACATACGCCTGGTCGTGCGGCCAACATACTTTGCTCTACAGAAGCAAGTGAAAGAGTAAACGCAGAAACAGATTGCAGAATCGGGCACTCTATCTTTCAACCGTAAATACACCAACGGGCTAGATGTGAATCGAGTTTGCATTTGCGCAATACGTTTTGTGGATGGCATTTGATAACCTTCTATGCACAATCTCTGCCAAGGAGTTGCCATTTCTACGAAGTAAAGTAAAGCGACCATACAACTCCAAAGAGTTTTACGTAAATAGCCTTGGAAATGATTTCGTTATTAACAGTCATCTTTTACTCTTGTGAATACCACAGAGGAATTACCTTGATCAACATTGCACTAAACTTTTCACTATCATCATACTTCATCGATGATCTGCCGCAAGTGAATAGCGCACGCGTGAGAAACAGGCTAGTTTTCGATCTGGTGGAGGTTGTATCGACCACATCCACACTCTTCACCAAACTCTGAAGCACCGGCATTCTTTTCGTAGACCCAACATCTCTGTCTTTCTAGATCTGAAAGCGGCTCTCGAATCAGTCGATCACTCTAAACTCTGGCGCTGCCTCCCTCTGAAGGGTGTGTCCGAGACGTTTATCTCAGTATTACCATCTCTTTATACGAATAGCCGAAGTCGAGTCCGAGCTTATGGCACTGTTTCACTCCAGTTCGCCGCGGAATGTGGTGTTCGCCAAGGTGACCTCTCTCTTTTTCTACTTAAATTTGTTAT